TGTTAGGCTAAGGAAGTGGAGAAGAAATAAGGTTTTTTGTTTGTTTGTTTAAACTTTTTGGTGATTTGGGTGCGAGTTTACAAAGCAAATTCATCTTCCATACAGCAGTTCACATACACTTCATCCCCATGACATTGATGTGATCTCCCACAGTGCAACAGCTCTCCTCCCACTTCCTCCCCATAGTTAACTCTTCCCTGTGTCCTTCCCTCCCATACACTCCTTCTCCCCAAGCTGTCTCCCTGTGCATACACAGCTTTTCTATTATCCCATGAGTGATCTCTACAAAGAGTGTAACTATCTAAAATAAATGTCCAGCTCATATACCTGTCTTTTGTTTGGCTGGAAACCATAAAAGTGGATTCAATTCTAGACCTGAAGGATAGCTAGGGGCCATATAGTCTTAGTCATTCCATCAGGCTCTATCAGACCAGCAAACCTGGTCCCTTTTTTTTTCCCCCAAATTATTTTTAATTTTGTTCCACATTGTTCTGCCACTCTATCCAGGATCTCCTATGGAGATCCCTCTCCGAGTGGTTGATAGTGGTAGCCAGGTACTACCTAGTTCTTCCAGTCTCATATAGGCTGAAGATTGCATGATGTACCAATCCCTTGGACTAATTGTTTCCACGCATCTTCATTATTCTTTGCTCTGGATGAGGAGAGACCCATTGTTGCATCTAGATGGCTTTTTGCAAGCTTTTAAGATCCCAATCACTACTCACCAAAGTAGGTTGTGGAATGATGTTTTGGTGTAGTATGTTATGCCCATTGAGCATAATGTCCCCTGTGACCATGGTCCCAAGCCCACCAGTCCAACTATTTACTCCCTCTGAGTAGCTATCTGTGGCCATGAAGTTACTACAACCTTGTCTCTTGTCAGCTCTACTATATACCTGGAAATTCTTAAAGATAATACAAATACACTAGTAGAAATCCTGTACATGGTCATGGGCACACTCCTCGCTGCATACACATACAAAATAGTTCAGCCTTTCCACCCATCTATCCACCTGTAGATCAGTGTCTGCTGACATCAATTGTTATTGCCAATGCAGTATTGTATGTGCAAAAGGGTTCATCTTTGTTGTCTATACCTTCCGTGTACCTCTCTCTGTCTTCCTCTTCCTCAATGCCACCATGTTGATCACTCACATTTGGTACATTGCCCTTCTTTTCACCCAAATCAATACTTATCTCTGCCTATCTAGGAGTGTTCCCTCTCCTTCCCTCCCAACCCTGGTAACCAGCAAAGAAAATTTCCTTCCATATAATAACCTGTCCTTGACTTTTGACAGTAGCAGACTAATACAATATTTGTCCTTATGTGATTGACTTATTTCACTCAGTATAATGTCTTCCAAGTTCATCCACATTATGCAGTGTATTGCAGATTCTAGGTTATTCTTTAGGGTTGCATAATATCCCATTGTATGTATGTAACATAGTTTTGTTATTCATTCTTCTATTGATGGGCAGTAGGTTGTTTCCAAGGAAATAAGGTTTTAAACATGATACATTTCAGTAGATCATTTCATTTGTTAAACATAGAGTAAATGAATTCAGTAAAATATTCTTAATGTTGCATTACTTTTTGAAACGGACACACTATTTTTCACAAGTAAAAAACCAAAAAACCAAACTCACTGCCCTTTGTTGTTGTTGTTGTTAAGTGCCGTCAAGTCATTTCCGACTCATAGCGACCCCATGCACAGCAGAACGAAACACTGCCCGATCCTGCGCCAGCCCCACAATCCCTGCTATACTTGAGCCCATCATCACAGCCACCATATCAATCCATCTCGTTGAAGGCCTCCCCCTCTTTCGTCGACCCTCCACCCTACTGAGCATGACATCCTTCTCCAGGGAATGGTCCCTTCTTACAACATTACCAAAATAGGTGAGACGAAGTCTGGCCATTCTTGCTTCCAAGGAGCATTCTGTCTGCACTTCCTCCAGGACAGATCTGTTAGTTCTTTCAGCAGTACACGGTACTTTCAGCATTCTTCGCCAGCACCACAACTCAAAAGCATCAACTCTTCTTCGGTCTTCCTTATTCATTGTCCAGCTCTCACATGCATACCAAGAGATTGGAAATATCATGGCTTGTGTCAAGCGCACCTTAGTCCTCAAGGAGATATCCTTGCTCCTCAGCACTTGAAACAGTTCCTTCGCAGTTGACTTTCCCAATGCTACACGTTGTCTAATGTCCTGACTGCTGCTTCTGTTGGCGTCGATTATAGAACCAAGCAACGTGAATTCCTTGACAACCTCAATCTTCTCTCCATTTATTGTGATGCTGCTCATTGGTCCAGTTGTGAGGATTTTTGTTTTCTTTATGTTGAGATGTAATCCATACTGCAGACTGTATTCTTCAACCTTCATCAGTAGGTGCCTTAAGTCATCCTCACTTTCAGCAAGCAAAGTTGTATGGTCTGCATATCTCAGGTTGTTAATGATTCTTCCTCCAATCCTGATACCAAGTTTTTCTTCATATAGTCCAGGTTCTCGGATTATTTGCTCAGCATATAGATTGAATAAGTGTGGAGAAAGGTTGGGCAATCATACTTCCGTAGTGATACTGCCTCGGAAACCCAAGGAGGGGTCGCTATGAGTCGGGGCCGACTCGATGGCACATAACAACAACAACAACAAGTGTGGAGAAAGAATACAACCCTGACGTACTCCCTTCTTGATTTTAAACCATGTAGTGTCCCCTTGTTCTGTTCAAACGACAGCCTCCTGGTCAAGGTACAGATTCCTCACGAGTACAATCAAGTGCTCAGGAATTCCCATTCTTCTCAATATTATCCATAATTTGTCATGATCCACACAATCAAATGCCTTTGCATAGTCAATAAAACACAAGTAAACATCTTTCTGGTATTCCCTTCCTTGAGCCAAGATCCATCTGACAACAGCTATGATATCCCTTGTTCCATGTCCTCTTCTGAATCCGGCTTGAACCTCTGGAAGTTCTCTATCAATATACCACTGCCCTTTAGTAGGATCTCATAGTGACCCCTCCTTGGGTTTCTGAGGTGGTATCACTACGGAAGTAGATTGCCTAACCTTCCTTCCAAGCAGTGACTAGTGGTTTTGAACTTCCAGACTTCTGGTTAACAGTCAAATGCCTTAGGCACTATGCCACAAATTGGAAATATGATTTTATAAGTCTCTTTTTTTCCTCTCTGAGAAAGAGATGGAAAGGGAACACCTAAGCATTAGAATACTAATGTTACAAATAGAAAATACTCATTTTACTTATTTGTTTGGTAATTTACTTTCTAATAGCGAAATGAGTATAAAACCCATTGCCGTTGAATAGACCCTGACTCATGATCACCCATGTGTTACAGCATAGAATTGAACTCCACAGGGTTTTCTTGGCTGTAATCTTTCCTGGACACAGATAACCGGTACTATCTCCTGTGTTGCCTTGATTTCAAAGTTGATGAGTTCAGTCCACCAGCCTTTCTGTTAGTACTCCAGCACAAATTGTTTGTTCCACCTGGAGACCTTAATAGAAATGACTCTATTGCTGTTCTTAGGGGCTATCATGTTGGCTCTGACTCTTAGTAACCATATCCCCAATAGACCATACATTCTGAGATACTGCACCACCCTCACGATCCTTGCTGTGTTTGAGCCCATTGTTGCCCTTCTCCAGTGACTGGTCCTTCTGATGACATGTCCAGAGTAAGCGAGGTAGAGTCTCACCATCCTAGCATCTGGGGAGCACCTGTACTTCTCTAAGGCAGCTTTGTTTTTTCTTCTGGCAGTCAGTGGTATTTCAGTGTCATTTGCCAACAAACAGCAAATTGATTATGTCAATCTAATTTGGTCTTCCTTTTTCATTATCCAGGTTTCATATGCAAATGAGGCAACTGAAAATGCCACTACTGGAGTCAGATGCACATTTATCTCAAAACTATATATATATTCTTTTTAACACTTTCAAGTATTATTTTGCAATGTATTTGCCCAGTGCAATATGTTGTTTGATTTCTTCACTACTGCATCCACGGGCATTGATTGTGTACCCAAAATAATGAAATTAACTAATGTATTTTGTGTTCATCTATTGGGCCACCTGGAATATTTTATTTATATGCCCTAAATTATTTGGCTCCAGAATGTGCCTATAACCCATATTTTAGAAACTCTTTCTCTCAGTCACCAAAGATGAAAAGTTACTGAATACAGTCCTGAGTAGTCTGGATTTCCCATTGCCACTGTTACAATGTTCTTGTGGTATTGTGGTTAAAGCATTGGCTGTTAACCGGAAGTTGGCAGTTCAAACCCACCAGTCACTCCATGGGAGAAAGATAAGGCAATCTGCTTCCGTAAAGATTTGTAGCCTTGGAAACCCTTTGGGATGGTTCAACTCCGTCCACAGGGTGGGGATGAGTTGGAATGGACTCCACAGCAGTGAGTTTGGCTTTTGTGTTTGATTTTAGATTTGGAGCATGTAATAACCCTGCTCAGCCTCAGGTTCCCCTCTCCAAAGTCCAGGAGCTGGATTATGGAGTTCAAGGCCCACTGAAACAGGAAGTAATGCAGGAGACCCCTGCTTTTGCATTCACTGACTGACACCAACACTCACGGCAAGGCTATTCTACATCCACACTGGGAGATTTTGATTTCTGCAAATGATGTTTCATGTCTCCCCAGACAGGTGTTCATACAAAATCTTAAAACAAATTGGTCCCAAGGTGCCAAGGGTGTTAAAGAAAATTAAAAAAAAAAAAAAAAAGATGTTTATGCTGTCCTTGAAAATAAGCTGTGAATGATTATAAATTGTGTTTCAGTATTTTTTTTCTAAAATCTAATGCAAGAGAGCAAGTTACCATTAGTTTTATGATTTGATTTTTGAAAACATCAAACGTAATAAAGAGGTTATAGAAAAATACTTTTATTTCTGCAATTGAAACTGATACAATAAAATTAAAATCAACTATAATTTACTATTTAGTTTTTTTTCTTTTTTTTTTCTTTAGGTTATTCACACCATCAGTGCCACTGATAAAGATGATTTTGCCAATGGACCAAGGTTTAACTTCTTTCTTGATGAACGCCTGTCTATAAACCCAAACTTCACATTGAAGGACAATGAAGGTGACCATATACATTTGTGCTTTGACTCTATATATAAAGTAGGCTTGGACACTTTTCCTTAATTCTCGTATACCCACGAATAGCTTGCAAATAAGCATTCAAAGCCAGTTTGATGTTAATGTCTTATGATCTGTGAATAGCTTGTATTTATAATTGAGCCATATGTACAAATAACTTTCATTAAATTTATTCAGAAGCATCCCCTTTAAACAAGAAATGTACATGTAATATGCTCTTGGGCAAATTTTTAAGAGAAATCTTCACTGACAAACATATTTATGAAAGTTGCTGCAACTGCTTGGAGGTGGAAAAAATTTAAATTAGGAAAATGAAAAATACATCCTAGGGATAGTTAGGAAAGGAAATGTGGTGTTTGTGATCATCATTCATTAGCAGGCTATCAAGATGTGCTACACAAATTATATTTCTTTTGTTATTAAGACCATTTTTCCAACATATGGATAGGTGCATATGTATAATTGTAGAATACTGTGGACGTCTTTGAATTCTCTTTTTTTAGCCGTTGTTGTTTTGTGGGAAAAACAGTGAAAGAACCCAGAATGTGTAACTGTGGAAGACTTATCCTGGTTTACATTTCCTGTTTGGCAGAGTCCTCCAGGTTCTCTAAGAGTCATTCTTCTGCACCTGAGGGGATCGATAAACTGTTCCACGTGTGCAGCATTCTGATTGGCATCAACTTTTTCCTTCTGCAAACTTTTTTGATCTTTTTTGTCAGAATATGTTCTTATTTGGGGCTTCACACTTTCATCACAATCACATGAGGAAACAATGGTGGATCAATTTTCAAGTAAATATTCCTTTCTCTGTTCCTTGTAGGAAATGCATTTTCAAGGATAAAATGATAGCATTAAATGAGAACCGATTTAAGGTATTTGCACATCATTCCTAAACTTCAGGTTGCTATAGGATATCAAAGTGTGCCTGTGACCATAACATGTTTCATGTGATCTCACAAAGTTTGATTTTTTTTCTCCTATGTTAAGTTGTTGTTGTTGTTATTGGCCATTGAGTCGGACCCTACTCATAGCAACCCCTCCTCGGGTTTCCGAGGCAATATCACTGCAGAAGTAGATTGCCCAACCTTCCTTCTGAGGAGTGGCTGGTGGGTTTGAACCCCCAGTCTTCTGTTAGCAGTCAAGTAAGTGCCTTAGGCACTATGCTACCAGAGCTCCCTCCTGTTGTAGAAGTGTTGAAATTTTCTATAAATTGTAGTGACCAGTCCTTTGTCCAAAATGTAGTTGCCATTTTTTGTTTGTTTGTTTTTTCCTCAGTGTGTAGGTGTTCTTTTTACTCTTTTGGTAAAATGCTTTGTTGTGCATAAATGTTTAATTTTTAGGAGGCCCATTCACCAAGTTTGTCTTCTTCTCTTTGTGCTTTTAAGGATGATTTATAGTGTATTTATGCCATGTATTAGGGATCATACATTTGCCCCTATTTTTCCTTTGGTGATCTTTACAGTTTTAGGCTCTACATTTAGGTCTTTGATCCATATTGAATTAGTTTATGCATATGGTGAGAGACATGAATCCTATTTCATTTTCCTGCAAATGAATATCCAATTTTGACAGTACCATTTGTTAAAGATACTGTCTTTTTCCCATTT